ATCTGTATCTAAATGACATGTAAATATTCCATCTGTATCTAAATGACATGTAAATATTCCATCTGTAGCATTATGACCTTTACATTGTTTGCAAATTCTCTCTCCCTTAAATTCTCCAAGTTTCCAACTAAGTGCAGTATTACTCCAGAGTACATGTTGATATTAGTATCTGTTTAGTATATTTTTGACTATATATTCTATATTCACATTTCTTTTTGTCCCTGTAGGACACTTTTGAGAATAAACGCTTGAGAATATGAGTAGTCTCTCATATTTGTTCATTTCACACTGAGAATGAATTACGCATTCGGAATATGCTCTCACACATACGCGGGACAGTAGATCGGACCTCACGTGAAGTGAACTATATCCATGTGAACTATAATGTCGACATGGTGTGTGTCACATGTGGTGAACTGAAGAGCAGAAGGATATCACATCCGGCTGAGAACTGAGGTTCGAAAGTTGACCCGCATTTGTTGTTTCACGCATCTATGTATAGGTCCGTGGTAGTATAATACCATGTTGCCGATATATTTAAACTGAAGTCTACACGAGATGAAGGAAGGAATCATATTTTATTTCCTTATTCATCATCTTACTTTCACTGACACTTTAGGGCGTGGTAGACCAAGCAGAAGTGGCATGTCTAAGTGTCACATATAAATGTAAGTGACAACATAACACACCAAGGAACAAAATGGCCCCTACCAATAATAAGTATGTAGATGTCTGACACTGAAACTTTGCCTGAGTGGAACCAGAAAGGAGGTTTCAAAATATACGATTCAAAGTTTGCTTGGGATCACCACTTAAAAAGGTAGACATGTTGAATTAAGAAAAGTCCGTTGTCATTTGCCACACAATGCCAATAAACAACATATGACCTATAATCATTCAGATAGTCCGTCAAAATGAGCGTATCTGACCAAAACTAAAATAAATATCCCACGAAGACAAATTCATTGTCCAAAGTACAACTCTGTGATCCGGACAGTGGTCTCCCCGTTCTTAGTGAGGTCGTTCGTTATCGTCCATGATGCATTCGGCCTCGCGTACACGTCCAGGTGTCATCCCTGTAGCGCACACACCTGTGATCGTGCCCTGCTTGGAGATCGGTTCTTTCAGTTCTTCTGATTCCACCCCAAATGATAATTAAGCCCACTTTATAGCGGCCATGTTCGGCAACGTTTGAATTCGGAAATCTTTCTCTTCGTCTACGGCACACTCGGGCACGACGATCTGTAAAGTCTAGACAGTATTTCGATTCATCATTGAAAAGTACTTAAGCCCAGCCCTGTTCTGTCTAATTGACATGATCAGTGGAGTTGGAATGCACGCCCTCCGTAACCAGAGACTCGCCTCAAGGAGTCGATTACTCACTGTCTGAGTAGAAACGTTAATACCATTGGCGTTGGGCAGGTCATTTCTTAGCGTGGTGGCAGTCACGGAATGATGACAGCTTGCTCCCGTGAGGGGAAACCTGTCTTCCCGCTGTGTTTTGGAATGCTGTCGACCACCTGCTGATCAAACTTTGGCTGACGTTGGCAATTTTGACCCAGTTACAAGCATACCTACACATCTGCCTAATTCTTCGGTCGTCAAACGAAGGAGGCACAGTTGCATTCAGTTGTAACAATCATAAATAGCAAATGTTGTTTAAAAAATGCTTAGCCAATACTGTAAGCATTCAAAACCTCGTGTTCAGAGTGTGTCTGGAAACAACAATGCTGTCGTAGTCCTACTATAACCAATCGCTATCTCGTGTGCTCACAAGTCAGCGAACTTGACAACCCGAAGGTCAATTCTAACCCGGAACCTTCACGGGACTCAGAACAAGAGGGGCAACAGAGATTATTTTTGATATAAATGAAAGAAAGTACGAATTCCCTGATGTATGATAAATATTTTATTGCACCTGAAAAGCTAAAATTCCGTGTCAACATGACTGTTCTCAGAATACTGTCAACATTACATGTTATCAAAGTCTCTCGGGGTCAAAATGAAGATTTTGCTTACCAACCAACGGGCAGGCTGTTTCAGATGATACGTCTCGCTTGTTGGTTTCAGAGCTTAGTTGGCGCCGCGTCGGGCGAATATGTAGGCCACTCCATCTGTGTGATATTGTTCAGTCCCAAGAAGTCAGTGACGACGCGGGGATAATGGGATCTATCATTGTGGTCTTGCAAAACAGCTCTTGGTCCAGTCTTTTTGAGACAGGGAAGCACGAATGATCAGAGAATTACCATTGATCACACAGAAAGGAGGCCTGTGCCAGAACGAGACTCCACCCACACCATATACTGCCACCAACAAACTGATTTTGTTCCCGTTCGTTGACATCAGCAAAGAGTTCACGGCTGAGTCTGTACACCAGGGTGCGACCATCATACTGCCGTGAAAACTGTTACTCGTCTGAGAACAGAACTTTTCACCACTGACCACACTGTCAAGTTACCATGATGCCATGCCCAAGCCTATCTTTGCAGCTCTTTGACGTCGCAGCAAAACAGGTCCTACTGCTTGAGTAGTCAAGGACGGAGATTCCCTCGAAAGTCAGATATCGTCGAGGCAAGTTGTGAAACTGCTCAATGTTTCACGATGGATGCTCTTTTTATGGGACCGCCTCCGTGGTTTAGTGGTAGGGCGTCCGCCCGGAGAGCGGAAGGTCGGGGGTTCGATCCCCAGCCCTTGTTACCCTGTCTCGCGCTCGGCATTAAGGGGCTAAAACAAGGAATGTTCGGCACGGAGTCAGTATACTGTGTCTGAGTGCGGTATTCATGTTAAACTGCGGCATAGTGGGCTAGCACTATAAATCGGCATTCGTCTGGAAGAGCATAAGCAGCCACACGCACCTACGTGTATGCACGTTGCCATATAAGTACATTATTCTTGGACGCGACGTTAAACCCTATTTCAACTCACCTCACCTCTTCAGATGCTAAATCTGCACGTGCAACAACAAAATCATTCATTATGACAGTAAGCGATTTTCCAAGAACAGCACCGAAATTCGAAAACATTTGTGGAAAACATCGGAATCAACAGTTACTTTGCGTGTGTATCTGTAATGATATGGGGAGGGATCAATATGGTTGCCAGAACGCCACTGCATATTGTCCATGACATGATCACTTGACAGTACTACCGTGACAAAATAATGGCACCAGTATTTGCACGCCATGCTGGTCCACCTTTTGTAAACAGTACCAAACGTCGAATACATTTGTGCAAAACAACAGAATCATCGGTCAGTTTTAACATTGCAAAACCCTTTTTCATGGTCACGCTTACACTGTTGAAGAATCAACCAAATATAACTTGTCTTGAACAAGGTGACAAAAATGTTGTTACAAAATTGTACCTGAAAGACTTAATGTTTTGGTCTTACAGACGTTCCCTTACGTAATTTCAAGCCTTCAACGTGCAGGTTTTTCTTAAATTGAGCAATTAGGTTGTGTAATATAACACTGTGATCTACAAACTGTATGCCTCTATTTCTATTTCGATCTTTTCCAAGAAGTGTGATGAGTCAATTGGGTATAGTGCTTTGAACGGTATTTTAGTTATTTCATGGTGTCATCTCAATGCAGGATGAAAGTGACACCCGTCGTTGTTGTAGCACGGGCATGGTGCGGACACATCACTATAGGTGCGTCCGGTATCAGATCAAATCACATGATCAGCGGCGCCACTAAGGGGCGAACATGTCGTCTCCCCAAAAAGAAGGAAATCATGAAACATAAATGCTCGTCAGGAGAATGATTAGCTTTGAACAATGACTGCCACAGACAGAACGGTTTCGGAACCAATACCTAACACCCAAACACACTTGAAACATTGCACAGTGATCAAGCAATTCCTCCGTGCAAGTGGGTAGGGGGTCATTCTCGATTTTGACACTTCAGTGAAAGGTCGTCATTTTCATTATCCACTGCAACACGTTAGCTCGCTTCTCTTGCTGTAATGCCGTATTTGTCATGTATAATGTGATGAACGCCTAAGGGCTGTGGGCATGTTTCAAACTGGTAGAACTCAGCGAGAGGTAGCCAAAATGTTTAATGTGTCTTAGTCTGTGATTTGCAGACTTTGGAACAGGTTTCTGCAGACACAAAATGTTTATGATCGGCCCGGACAAGGCACCCTAGGTCTGAAACCCTTGTTCAGGATCGATTAATCAGAAAGCCGGCTTTAAGAAATAGAGTTGTACACTTGCCCCCGGCTTCCGGTATCCAAGAAACTGAGGAAACGATTACAAATAGTCTGCATGCTGCTAATCTGGATGGTCGGTGACCACGTGTGGTACCCCGTCAACAAATCGACACGATATAATAAGACACCAATGGCCATTGGTCTCGCTTTGTTGTCAGATGAGGCCAGACTCATCCTTAACTTTCTGAAGGCGTCCAAACGAACATCTCAAACGTTCAAGTTTTGACTGCACACCTGTGTTCGATTGCTGGCACCCTTACAGTACACAGCTAAAATGTTCTGTTAATCGGTATGTTACACCTTGTCCTTCCAGTACACAGCTAAGATGTTATGTTGATCGGTATGTTACACCTTGTCCTTCCAGTACACAGCTAAGATGTTCTGTTAATCGGTATGTTACACCTTGTCCTTATAGTACACATCTAACATGTTCTGTTGATCGCCATGTTACACCTTGTCCTTACAGTACACAGCTAACATGTTCTGTTGATCGCCATGTTACACCTTGTCCTTCCAGTACACAGCTAACATGTTCTGTTGATCGCCATGTTACACCTTGTCCTTCCAGTACACAGCTAACATGTTCTGTCGATCGCCATGTTACACCTTTTCCTTTTCCATTCATTACCATTACTTGTATCTTGCCTCTTTGTATTTCTGTAATCATGTTGTTTCGAATACTTATTTGGAGCATATTTGCGGCGCCTAAGACGATCGAGTGCCCCGTGCCCCTATTACTCATGGCTGTTGACATGCACTTGTCGTCAAACAAACACACAATACACCTGTAAATATCAACTTGTTTTATTAATGTCCCAAATGACAGATAATCTCAAACGAACATGAAGAAAATAGGTATATGTACAGTCACGTATATCCCTCGACACTTATACACGTCACCACCACGCTATGTACAGCGGAATCTCAGTCACCTCCAAACTACAGCACTACAGCAGCGGCTGTGCCTTGCCTCGGAGTGCCCTTGGGCACAGAGCACTTCATCTACACAGCTTATGACAAACACGTAGACATCGTTACCCATGTAACGTGACGTGTCTTGTGTGTGACCTTGAGAGGTCATGCTAAAAGGAAGACACCATTCTTTAAGGTTGACGCAAACACCATATATATCAAGGCCACCTGTACATAGTCAAGCCATATCTCGGCCACCTGTACATAGTCAAGCTATATCTCGGCCACATGTACATAGTCAAGCCATATCTCGGCCACCTGTACATAGTCAAGCCATATCTCGGCCACATGTACATAGTCAAGCTATATCTCGGCCACCTGTACATAGTCAAGCTATATCTCGGCCACCTGTACATAGTCAAGCTATATCTCGGCCACCTGTACATAGTCAAGCCATATCTCGGCCACCTGTACATAGTCAAGCCATATCTCGGCGACCTGTACATAGTCAAGCTATATCTAGGCCACCTGTACATAGTCAAGCTATATCTCGGCCACCTGTACATAGTCAAGCCATATCTCGGCCACATGTACATAGTCAAGCCATATCTCGGCGACCTGTACATAGTCAAGCTATCAGTCTTGCATCTTCCCGAGGCAAGAGAGTTAACTGACTATAGAAGTCCAGTTTCCACCCTTGCCGAACTAGGCTGGGATTATGGAGTTACATTTTGACTGGACTAACGAGTTTTTGCATAGTCAAATCAAAATCGCGCAAAGAAATCGAAATCCGGTTCGTAAATTGTCGCGCAGATTTCGGTCGATTGCAGTATTTGCAAAGCATGTGCACCGCCAACTCGTTGTCAACAGATATTTTCCAAACCTTTTTTTTAATGTTTTTAATAAAGGTGCCCGCGTGATTTGATGCACTTCGCGATGTAAGACCCTTTTTTATCACAACATGGATCTGGATTATCGATTAGATCGTCTTGACTGGGCGCCACCGTTCTGTTTGAACCAAATGCAAGTGATGGAATCTGATTGGTCCATAGGAGATGATTAGAAGGAACATAACTCGTAATAACCACTGGTGGCGCTACGATCGGGCCCAGGGATTCCAGCCTCGTTCGGCAAGGGTGGACTTTTAAAGTCAGTTAACTCTCTTGCCTACGGAAGATGCCAGTCTAGGGAATCAGGGGAACTGTGTGGCGAGGAATTTAGCCGACGTGATAACCTTTATGCTTTGACGAGTTGTGGAACATAATTTGTCCCGACATTGAGGCTGGGACATATCATTCTGTCAGAGACACTAATACATTGGGTGCGGAAGCATTGGACAAACATCTAATCTCTGAAATGAACGATTTTACAGAACCAATTTGTTGTTGTTGTTAAATTACAGTTACAAAATATAACAAAAGAAGTCCAGAGACTTCCTTCATCCTCATAGTGCACTAACCTAGACTTGCCAAATATCATAGCCTTGCATGGGCTAATTTGGATATATTTGTTTTAGGGTCTGTATGACTATCGGAGCATGACAAGCAGCAGCAACGTTTGCAACAACAGGTCCACTTTACAACAGTTCAGACCACCAGTGTTAAAGAGAGACGTCTCTGACTGTCACTCACTGTCTTAGAAACAACAGCTGCCAGGGAGCCAAGTCTCCCGCCGTACAGTACACTATAGAGGTAGGGAGGCGTTATTGGGACGTATGGCGCCATCTTTCCATAGGACGTCCCGCGTACTACTGGAAACACGTTCCCGCATGAGACGAATTGGTGTTTTAATTTTATGTCGCCTTTTCAAACACTAACTATACGTATGAGCGGGTCACACTGCACACATATTACATCCTAAAATAATCGTTTGAAACAAAATACCCGCTATTCATTTGTTTCACCTACTGCAATTTCGGATGTTTTAACTGGAACTTCATGAAATACGCCCTTTTTCATTCATGAACACATGCTCTATTTAAGGCTGAGGTCGATGTCAGCTGTATGTTATTGACCGAAACAAAACCATTGTCAAATGGCCGTTAGTGTGTTCTGTATGCCCTCGACAGTGTAACACCGGTCTAGGCGGGGTGTCAACTGTTCCACTATCTAAAGTATAAATACAACTGATTGGCTATGATATCGTACAATATTATATTTACACGAACTATTAACATGTCATTATAAATAACTGGATAACGCGCGGCTATCGTGCATTGTTTGTGCATGACAAAGATAAACTGCACATACGTCTGTCTATTCGTACGTACCAGAAACAAGAAACGGACTGACTACCTCAGAGGGGGGGGGGGGGGGGGGGGGGGGGCATTAATAACAATAACGAAGTTTTATGGAAGTTCATCACTGTTATTAATTAGGTTGTGGAGCAGATAGTAAATGTAACTTATCAATGTACTGACACACGGCAGGTATTCAGAAAGTGTACTATGTTCACTACCACTGCTTTAAATGTCACATGGTCCATTCCGCCCCTTTGCTTTACCAACTAGGTGAAGGTCGCGTTTTGGGTGACAGGTTTCCTTGACTGTTCAGCGCAAACACTGTCGAGTAAAGCATCAGACTGGTAGCAGTGTTGTTATTATTTTGTCCACATAAATCTCAATCAACAACAGATTGCAACAGACTATATAAATATTCATATGAACCAGAATACTATATGAACAACATCATTTGTAAATCGTGATGAATCTCCTGTTGTAGTTCCACACTTTCAAACATACCTCACAAACGCCAGACCAACACGTTTCTTGTTTTTCCTTTGCCGAATGAAACGAAATATAGGAAATCGTGGCTGAGTGTGCACTTATTTCAGAACCGTACTTGTTTCATTGAAGGCAACTAAACCAAAATGGTCAAACAATCACAGAAAGCGTTCAATGTACTATCCTTATTGGTTGTCTCACCACGAAGTAGTGTCATTTCAACAACCGACCCCTATCACGTTTTGCCAGGGAGATCCTTGACAGAATTGAGTAAATCAGTTAAACAAAAAACAAAATTGGTCTGGTTGAATTTCGTGACTCGCAGCTGACAATGAAATTGGCAGGTGGAGAGTCACCCGAACACACAATGGCATCCCCTGAACCTCGCCCCAAATCCACGCATACATATATATCTACATTGAACATTGGCTGAATGTCCGCAGCCACAGGGCCGGAGACCGGCTTGCATAGTGATTTACGTCATGCCTTCAACACGGCAGAAAGAAGAAACGTGTATTTTCCATCGAATCTTGAGTAGGCTTAGGAACAAGTAAAGATGTCGCCACTGTAACGGCTTGAGAAACAATTTTGATTGTGCCACTTATATAAATGCAGTCACGACGGCCGATCCACACAGCACCGCGGTGTCAGTTGCAGCCAGCACAACCGGGAGCCTTCCCGTCTCCACGCGCGACACAATCACACTTACAGCAAACTTGGAATCTCCCACTCGATTTCTAACTCTCAGCCTTTACCCATGCTAAATAGAACAGTCTATTTGGCAATGGAGGTGCAAGGTGGTGGATGTTAGTTCATACCGAGGTTACCACTGCATGTCTGGAAGGAAGAAAAGCTGGTTAGTTGCAACTGGAATAGGGAGTTAGCGTCTTTCAAGTAAACACGACTTAACAATAATTTTCCTGGGAAGCATACAGTTTTAGGATTATAGTGTCTCCAAAATGAAACTCTTTACATTACTCGTGATGTGTTTTTAACATATGGCAGCTCAGGTATAAACACGGGTGTGCTATTCCGAAAAGCAAACATGAATTTCTGGTAACCGAAATAGGACAGTTTGGATATACGGTGGAGATGTTAAAATACATAATGAATACTATATCGAATCTTTATCGGTAGTTTAGTTAGAATAGAGGGAAGTGTATGTGTTATCAGACTAAATGTAGCAGTAAGGGAGACAGGCACCCGCCACCCTAAGAGAGAAGGTGTGTGTGCACCTCAGTGCCCGTGGTCCTGCAAGCTAGTGTCATCCTGATGTCTCAATGTCTGCGGCAGATCTTAATCTGTCCAACCTATGAACATACTTCAGATGAAGTAGCACTTCCCCTGCATAGTCATCATTCTTCCAGTGAGGCTGTCCATATTTTTTTCTGTTTCCCATCTCCCGAATTTTCATTCCGACGTGAAATGAAAGTTTTCGTATCCCAATATTTCCCACCGCTGTGGAACTTTATGCCTCGATGTGATAAAATTAAATACTTCTACCATTGCAAACTCATAAGAAAAACCTGTTCAAGTTGATCTTTCTTAAACTATATTTATTATAAACTTGTTTCCGGAGCAAAGCGACTTGATCTAAATTATAATTAAATTTAAAGACCGGTACCAAATTTTCTAAGCTTTAAAATGTCATAACATACGTTGCACAATTAGTCAATTGTTTATTTGTTAATTGTAAATTAGTTTATTTATTTATTTATTTTCGCCTACCCTATTCCCTGCTGGTTGAGTTGGGAGATGAGAAACACAAACAAATATGGATGGCTTAATAACAAAAACAAACGCGCATGAACCCAGTCCAATTTGAACACAAACAATCATATCATTATCAAGTGTCAACAATAATTCCACATGAAGACAGGAGGTCCCTGGCGTCCAGTACATATTCACAGATCTCGTGCTACCCACACAACGATGTCGTCTGCCGCCGGCGGAGTCTTCTCCGTGTCCTTGTAATCCTCCTCGTCGTCCATGAGGGGAATCTTGTGGTCAGTCAGGGGCTTGTTGGCCACAACGCAGCGCTTGATCTTAAACAGCACCATGATGACGGAACTCCACAGCAGACACGCCCCTGGGAAGAATATAGCAAGATGCATGAAGGTCGGGCATATACAGTGATGACGCGGCTTATAGATATACATACGCCAGTTAGTCATTGACAGAGATATGACGCGGCTTATAAACATACACACGCAATAATCTTATAATATGAATTTACTTAACAAGGCAGTGGTACCATTCCTAGTTCAATGCTCTCATGGATGACCATCGTTATTCGATACTAATAATGCGTATTCTATATTTTAAGTTTGAATGAATACGAGTTAACTATGAATCTTCCGACAAAGATGCTGATAGTGACAGTTTGGGTGTGGGTGAAGCGGTGGTGTCGCCGGGTACTGTACCTGCTAGGTAGAAGGCGTACTTGTATTCCTTCTCGTGTTGTATCAGCAAACCTGTCGCAGACAAACAACGGTATCAACATACACAACATGGCAAATCATTGTTCAAAAATTGGGTAAGTAGATTTAGTCTTCTAAATTACTGCTTGTTACAGTGGCGACCTACCACGAGTGCTGCTTGTTACAATGACGACCTACCACGTGTACTGCTTGTTGCCATGACGGCCAACAACATGTACTGCTTGTTGCCATGACGGCAAACAACATGCACTGCTTGTTACATTGACAGCCTAGCACGTGTACTGCTTGTGACATTGACAGCCTACCACGTGTACTGCTTGTTACATTGACAGCCTACCACGTGTACTACTTGTCGCCATGACGGCCAACAACATATACTGCTTGTTACATTGACAGCCTACCACGTGTACTGCTTGTTACATTGACAGCCTACCACGTGTACTGCTTGACACCACGAGGACCTCCCACGTATACAGGAAGTGCTTGTTACAATGACGACCAACCATGTATACTGGTGGTTACCAATCTCGTGCCAGGTTATCGTGTTTTCTAATTCATACCTTCCCTATTTCAGTGCTTACCCATATATAGAGACTGTAAGTGTCAGTGCGGTCTCTGACAGGACAATGCGTGACAGGGTCGATATTTAGAACTTTGCAAGAAAAACTAACAATATTATTACAATATATTTGTACTGTCTGTACTTACATCTATGGAAATTAGCTGGGGTGAAAGACTAGATCATGTGGCAAGAACGCTTCCAGCACAAGATCACCAGTCTACACAAATATAAGCCTCATCTCCACATTAGGTATTGATATAAGTCTGAGGGTTCATGATTTCGAAAATCAGACATTGTGGGCCAAAATGCTGTCAATATTCCTGATCCTTTTTGTTCGAGTGTCACAAATTCGGCTTCGAAAAACGTAAGACATTTTATCGTAAGATCAGTAAAACTAGCACACCTATCAAAGGATATAACACTGACAGCGGAGCTGTTTCTAATATCTACATAAAACATATGTAATCACCGACCAGGGGTCGTATAGCCACAAAGTCCCATATCGAGACCATCATAACCGTACCTGCCGCTGGTCCTCCGGTGAGGCAGCCCAAGGCTATCATAAAACACAGGTACCCGTTGCCCATAGCAATATACTCCGGGCCGAGAAGCTCCCGGGAAGCTTGAGAGAGGAATGTTGTCCAATATCCACTATAGAAGCCGAATAGTAACGTGTATCCGATCTGACCCGTGAAGTCTTTGAACAAGAGCGGACAGATGCCAGTGACAACCACGCCAAGTCCAACAGGGCACAGCACAGACGTGACGTCATCCAGCGTACTGTTGTGCCCCATAAACGCGAATATCATCCTGCTGGTGAAGCTGGCCATGCCGACACAAGCCACGAGGAACGTGGAGCTCTCGAAGTCCGTTCCTTGCGATATTGCATAGGATGGCAGGTACATGTAGATGATGGTGGACCCGAAGCTCCAGAAGAGGTTGGCGATGCACATGCCGTGGAACAGAGGGTTTCGGAGGGGGAGGCAGGACAGGAGTGGCAGGAGGCGTACCTCCTTCTCCCCGGGTAGAGGCTTGAGCAGGGCACCACACACGCACAGGTTGAGCGACACCCCGCCCAGGAGCAGGAGAGTTCCCCTCCACGCAAACATGTCCAGCATGTGTCTGATGATGATGGGGAAGGTGATGATGCCTGCCCCGACCCCACCAACAACAACGCTCAACGCCTGGAACCGCCCATGGATGAAGTAACGCTCTACAGCAACTATAGAGGGTGAACACGCCAGACCGAAGCCAATACCTGCAACAGAAAGCGTTACTGTCATAACATCGCATATATGTACCTACATGTACCAAAATGTCGCATAAACGAAAAACATACATGAGAATTCGCCATTTGTGTGTGTGTGTGTGTGTGTGTGTGTGTGTGCGTGTGCGTGTGCGTGTGCGTGTGCGTGCGTGTGCGTGCGTGTGTGGTCCTTAATCTGTTATCATAGGATCCTTAGGGTCGTGAAAGGTCTTCAGTTTCCATTCCGTTTTTTGGGAATGTTATGGAAGTACGCAGTTATTAAATCTGTGGTCCATCCCCGTACTTAGTGACCAGTCGAAAGGTCAAACCAACCTGTCGACATATGCATTCGATATCCGTATCAATTCAACGTAGACGCATTTGCTTCATTATGTCAAGTTGTATACACGCTTGATTACTGATAACGCATCGACCAATACCATGTCTGTGTCTTGGCCTCGTCAGTGTACACACCCAGCGTCGGTCAAAATAGATCAGATCTATACCAGCAGACTCGTGTCAAATGCTACAGACAGATCGGGAATGGGGTTGTCTGCTGATTCTGGTGTTGATTCTGATGTTTACAGGGCGCTGGGATTTCATTAAAAAACATAAATTGTCCCAGAAAATCCTGTTATAAAGAAATATGTTGCCTGCCAAAAAAATGACATTGTCACATTGTACAATGTTACAAGGTGCTTTTCTTAAAAATATATTTGGGATCATGGTTTTAGATAAAAAATTGTCTTGTTTTTCACCTTCCCCAGATAGTGCCTCACTTACCCCCATCCCGGGCTCCACCCAACCCCCACCATCCCCGTCACCATGTCAACATACATACACAGCTTCTCCACCCTTTTTATCCATTCCATATTCTTCCAAATACAGCCTCAGCCGCCCCTACTCCTATTCAAATACAGCCTCGCCAACCCCTTCTCCTCTTCAAATACAGCCTCGCCCACCCCTACTGCTCTTCAAATACAGCCTCGCCCACCCCTACTGCTCTTCAAATACAGCCTCGCCCACCCCTATTCCTCCTCAAATACAGCCTCGCCCACCCCTACTCCTCTTCAAATACAGCATCGCCCACCCCTACTGCCCTTCAAATACAGCCTCGCCTATCCCCATTCCTCCTCAAATACAGCCTCGCCCACCCCTACGGCTCTTCAAATACAGCCTCGCCCACCCCTACGGCTCTTCAAATACAGCCTCGCCCACACCTAATCCTCCTCAAATACAGCCTCGCCCTAGATCACAACCTCACAACGTTTCAGACCAAGCCTTATGAACTCACCTGTAAGCAGTCCGAATGTGAGGTACACCTGATAAAGCTCATTGACCACAAGTCCTAGCGACAGCCCTGTCGCCGCCAGAAGCCCCCCGACCATAACGCTGACACGGCATCCCCATATACTCGCTACAAACCGCAGCATCACACCTGCAACACACAGTAGCACAACAAAAGTGAGTAAATTGATTAAAGGCCGCTTTGAAAAAAGTACTTTCAGTTATAATATGGCGTGTCAGCTTAAGACATCCTGGCATGCTAAGTCTTATGGGCTGCCATGTTCCGCGCAACATGATAAGAGATCAGAATTACAGAATACACGAGTTTGCATTTGGCCTTGAATAATATTTCACATCTAAAAAAAATCCTACACATCGAGCTGAACGAGGCAAGAGCATATGAGTTGATATTATAAGTTGTCAACCGATCTCGAGTGGCATATGGTGTGATGTACATAGGCTCACACACAAGGAACATCACACCATATGCCCCGAGGGATCGGTTGACAACGAATTGATCTCACCGACTTTAATTCAGCCACGTTGACAGCTAGCAGACGACGCAAATGAGCCGAGTTACTTCCCTTTACCCAGATACTGATGCGAGATAAGCAAGTTACCTAAGGTGTGTTACGATTGATTCCTTAGCGGGGTACATGGAAAAAATCATTGCCCGCACTTTTACCAATCAGAGGCTAGTATTTTAATGTTAGGTAAGATAAAGGTTGACGTACTGGAGAGCGCCGTGACGTACAGCAGTACCGATCCCACCCATGACGTATCGAAGTGGTTCTTCTGGAAGATGTCCCTGAAGATGACGTGGAAGACGCCCAGACTGTACGTGATGCCGCACACTATGAACTGCGTAAAAAATGCGGCCAGAACGACGACCCACTTCCGGTAGCCATCCTCCTCGTTCATCCTGGACTTCCGCTTAATAGTGACGACGATCATTTAGTCTCTGAAACAATAAAACAATCGCCGAGTGTAAACCGATGTGGTCCTTGACACGGTCCGCATAATGGATTTCAAATATTCGTTGGTCATCAGTCTTGTTGAGATGAGGGAACGCATACAAATTGTACAATCCGACAGACTGATATTTTGTAATTTGATGAGATATAACATATTGATTGTTAGCAACGATGTTCACTTTAATACGTGACTGTACATATTCAAATCAGACCCGCTCAGCGTCTTAAATCATTTCTGATACACGATAATAGCCATGATTAAAAAAATCTCCAAAATCGATTCAGATAAGGTCAACCACTTTCCATATAGGTGTATGTATTCCAGCATATAACGCGTTAACCAAAGACTGTCTGTTAAGCCGATACTTCGCAAACAGGCCAATCATTTCCAACAAATATATTGCCATCAATAGATACAGTATCGATCTTCTATCCGACTGTGCGACGAAAACACCACAAACGGCACACAGACAAAGACCCACGTGGAATCAGAACCTTTAAGTCTTGTTGAAGCCCGGCTAATATGACGACAGTGCTGTCCTGGTTAACGTCCAAACAGAGGCAATAAAGGTATTTGACGATGAGATGTGCCTTGCTAGTCCGCTAGTCACACAGGACATAACTATACAGATGACCCCCAGCTAGTCACACGAGACATCACTGTACAGGTGACCCGCTAGTCACACGAGACATCACTGTACAGGTGACCCGCTAGTCACACGAGACATCACTGTACAGATGACCCGCTAGTCACACGAGACGTCACTATACGGATGACCCGCTAGTCACACGAGACATCACTGTACAGGTGACCCGCTAGTCACACGAGACATCACTGTACAGATGACCCGCTAGTCACACGAGACATCACTGTACAGATGACCCGCTAGTCACACGAGACATCACTGTACAGATGACCCGCTAGTCACACGAGACATCACTGTACAGATGACCCGCTGGTCACATAAAAACATATGTAACATATTGAATGGATTGTGTAAGATGTGACGAATCGTCACATGGCACTGGCCTGTGGCAGAGGTACGATGTTCACCGCATGGAACTCTGGGTAGGAGAGTGTATCTGTTTTTCTTTAGTCACCTCTACGTACATCTTCCGTGCCGCCGACATGTGTTATAATTCTTGCATTTCGCAGTAGTGTATGATAAAATATTACAAACCTCACATGAAGGCCATGCCATCTTCCCAAAGCAAGGGGAAGGTGTGTCAAAGTCTGCTCCGGTAACATGAGGCAATGAAGGCGCATGTCCAATTAAACACAGTTCAATAAATTAGTTATCCCAAACGGTGGACTTGGAAGTAAAAAGGCGACTTTCGAAAGCCTCACAAGCCGGACTTTCGACCGCTGCTACACATTGCCAGAAAGGCATGAGAGACACCACTTGCGATCGTGGAGACAGAAGGACCCTTATCACCCTGACCAAACAATGACAAGAAGGCTTAAGTTTGAACGGTCCATGTTTCGACTAGAAAGCTAGGACAGCCATACTTCATACAAAGATAGTAAGATTAGCAAGGCCCGACAGTGGTCAATCAAAGATAGTTAGGTTAGCAAGGCCCGACAGTTGTCAAACAAAGATAGTTCGGTGAGCAAGGCCTGACAGTGGTCAGTCAAAGATAGTTAGGTTAGCAAGGCCCGTCAGTGGTCAAACAAAGATAGTAAGGTTAGCAAGGCCCGACAGTGGTCAATCAAAGATAGTTAGGTTAGCAAGGCCCGTCAGTGGTCAAACAAAGATAGTGAGGTTATCAAGGCCCGACAGTAGTCAAACAAAGATAGTAAAGTTAGCAAGGCCCGACAGTGGTCAATCAAAGATAGTAAGGTTAGCAAGGCCCGACAGTGGTCAATCAAAGATAGTGAGGTTATCAAGGCCCGACAGTAGTCAAACAAAGATAGTAAGGTTAGCAAGGCCCGACAGTGGTCAATCAAAGATAGTAAGGTTATCAAGGATCGGCAGTGGTCAAACAAAGATAGTAAGGTTAGCAAGGCCCAACAGTGGTCAATCAAAGATAGTGAGGTTATCAAGGCCCGACAGTGGTCAATCAAAGATAGTAAGGTTAGCAAGGCCCGACAGTGGTCAATCAAAGATAGTAAGGTTAGCAAGGCCCGACAGTGACACGCATTAGTTTTCCTCACCCGAGTCCTCATCCCTGCAACCACCGGAATCACTAGCAGGGTTTAGAATAATATAGGAGACCCAATGTGTGACTACAAACGTAAGAGTGCACTAGGTTCAGTGGAGGATTGACGCAACAATGTTATCACCAGATACAGGTCAACTGATGGACCTCGCTCACACAGGAATAGATAACAGCACGCTAGTGCCATAGGGCATCAGTTGGTTGATCTTTATTACGGGAATTTCCGAACACGTTTTAGTCAAGCTATTTTGTTACATAAGGGATTAGATTATTCTCTAAGTAGTCATTAGCACACCTCTCATTGAGACCGTTACCATGTCAATCATTAATCTAAGACACCAACCCCACAGACACCACTATTCCCCACATTAATTACTTACTTAGAACACTCGTCCTCAATGACACTGCTATTCCCCACATTAATTATTTACTAAGAACACTCATCCTGAATGACACTGCTATTCCCCACATTAATTACTACTTAGAACACTCGTCCTCAATGACACTGCTATTCCCCACATTAATTTCTCACTTAGAACACTCATCCTGAATGACACTGCTATTCCCACATTAATTATTATTTAGAACACTCGTCCTCAATGACACTGCTATTCCCCATATTATTTATTTACTTAGAACACTCGTCCTCAATGACACTGCTATTCCCCACATTAATTACTTACTTAGAACACTCGTCCTCAATGACACTGCTATTCCCCACATTAATTACTTACTTAGAACACTCGTCCTCAATGACACTGCTATTCTACCACATAAGACACCAAATTTATTGACACCGCCAATCTATCTTGTCACTCGTTATCAAAAGACACCCATCATCAATGGCACCGCTATGCTTCATCACCTATTTACGTAAGACACCAAATCTAGTGACACTGCCAATTTACCATGCCACTCCTTATAATAAGACACCAACCACTATGACACTGCCAACCACAATGACACTGCCAACCACAACGACACTGCCAACCACAACGACACTGCCAACCACAACGACACTGCCAACCACAATGACACTGCCAACCACAATGACACTGCCAACCACAACGACACTGCCAACCACAACGACACTGCCAACCACAATGACACTGCCAACCACAATGACACTGCCAACCACAACGACACTGCCAACCACAACGACACTGCCAATCTACCAAGCAAGTCGTTATCCTAAGACACATAAGATTCTCAATGACGCCTCAACTAACTTCCTCTGCTACATACGGGAATGTGCTGCCCAGCAGGCAGGGTGGGAGCTGTGGTGGGATATGTTGTGTCAGACACTAAATTGTGACAATAAAACCGCTTATGGAAGTCGGTCGATAGCGGCAACGACATAACGTTATCGTTGCCTTGGTAACTTGCCCTAGTCGGATGTGCATATGAGACTCGGCACAACATTTACCAACCCATTGTGTGTGTCCTACTACTGCTCAGCTCCTTGTGTGTGTCCTACTACTGCTCAACTCCTTGTGTGTGTCCTACTACTACTGCTCAACTCCTCGTATGTGTCCTACTACTGCTCAACCCCTTGTGTGTGTCCTACTAATACTGCTCAACTCCTTGTGTGTGTCCTACTACTGCTGCTCAGCTCCTTGTGTGTGTCCTACTACTGCTCAACTCCTTGTGTGTGTCCTACTACAGCTGCTCAACTCCTTGTGTGTGTCCTACTACTGCTGCTCAACTCCTTGTGTGAGTCCTACTACTGCTCAACTCCTTGTGTGTGTCCTGCTACTGCTGCTCAACTCCTTGTGTGTGTCCTGCTACTGCTGCTCAACTCCTTGTGTGTGTCCTACTTCTGCTCAACTCCTTGTGTGTGTCCTGCTACTGCTGCTCAACTCCTTGTGTGTGTCCTACTACTGCTGCTCAACTCCTTGTGTGAGTCCTACTACTGCTCAACTCCTTGTGTGTGTCCTACTACTGCTGCTCAACTCCTTGTGTGTGTCCTACTACTGCTGCTCAACTCCTTGTGTTTGCCTACTACTGCTGCTCAACTCCTTGTGTGTGTCCTGCTACTGCTGCTCAACTCCTTGTGTGTGTCCTACTTCTGCTCAACTCCTTGTGTGTGTCCTGCTACTGCTGCTCAACCCCTTATGTGTGTGTCCTACTGCTGCTCAACTCCTTGTGTGTGTCCTACTACTGCTGCTCAACTCCTTGTGTGTGTCCTACTACTGCTGCTCAACTCCGTGTGTGTCCTACTACTGCTGCTCAACTCCTTGTGTGTGTCCTACTACTGCTGCTCAACTCCTTGTGTGTGTCCTACTACTGCTGCTCAACTCCTTGTGTGTGTCCTACTACTGCTGCTCAACTCCTTGTGTGTGTCCTACTACTGCTGCTCAACTCCTTGTGTATGTCCTACTACTACTGCTCAACTCCTTGTGTGTGTCCTGCTACTGCTGCTAAACTCCTTGTGTGTGTCCTACTACTGCTGCTCAACTCCTTGTGTGTGTCCTACTACTGCTGCTAAACTCCTTGTGTGTGTCCTGCTATTGCTGCTCAACTCCTAGTGTGTGTCCTACTACTGCTGCTCAACTCCTTGTGTGTGTCCTACTACTGCTGCTCAACTCCTTGTGTGTGTCCTACTACTGCTCAACTCCTTGTGTGTGTCCTACTACTGCTCATCCCCTTGTGAGGAAACCCTTCGAGCATACTGACCTGATGCTCCTTCACTGTCCGGGAGCTTTCGAAAATCAAAATTCAACCTCATCGTCTCAGATTAGTCATTAATATTATTACTCACTGACGGTCATCGACTTGTGCAATGCGGTCTGATTAGTGACACGGGTTTTTATGCACGGGAGATAGC